GCACACCGGGGCATCACTGGTTTAAACTGATCTCCAGACACGGAGAGGAGGTTACAGCTGTGGATGGGCTGGAGGGAGGGTAGCAGAGCCCTAGAGAAGGATTTTGGATTTCCAGGAGGAATAGTGTCAGCTGTGAGAGGTCTGTGGTACACGGACAGCACTTGGAGTAAGTCATCCCCAAACACCTCAGAAGCCAGAGTCTCCACCCCAAAGAGGATTCACTAACATTTGCAGCCTTCCAACCATTAATCATGGCATTACTCAGGAGAGCTTTCCCATATCCCCTCTCCCCCACAGAAGATGCATCAGTCAGCCCTTCCTCAGACACAGCAGAGGTGAAGCAGAAGTATGCTGTATCCCCTAGCTCCTCCAAGCCATGTGCTGGGGGTCCTCCCCTCCCACCCCCCGGCAGCATACGGGGAGGCCAGCTTTCATTTACGCCGAGACAAAAAGCAGAGTCTGTTCAGAGCTCCACGGCATGCAAAGTGTGCACACCGAGACAGAAAGGCAGTTCTTCTCATCCAGAAACTCAGCACAAATAAAGCATGGGATAAACACCCGGACTCTGTCCCAGCAACACAGTTGTTCCTCTTTCCCTTCCTGCCCCCCTCCGCCCCCAAAAACTTGGAAGATCACTTTATTAACATAGTAGGCTGCTACCAGATGGAGCAGAGAGGAATGCCAAGAACAGATCACTGGCTCCTTGTGAAGCCCAGAGCCGCTCGCTAACTTTTTCCAAGCAAGGAGTTAGCCCAGAGGTATTGGGCTCCTTGCTCTGCACGGAAAGGCAAGGATCTTAACGGTGAGGAATCTGCCAGGGAGGTTCTTCGGGTCATCACCAGGAATCAAAGGTTTTACAGCTCCCATTCAGAGTTGCTGTGGCCCGGTAACACCAGGTGCTAGGTCTAGGTAAGCCGGGCAGGGCAGCTGCCGGGCAGGGAGCCGCTTGCCCTGACTCAGCGAAGAGGAATGTCAGCCCCGAGATCCCAATCCCCCGGGGACACATCCAGCACACATGCCACGCCACTGCCACGCCGGGTGTGGTTTCTCTGCAAGGAAAGTCAACTCCTTGAAGGAAAGCTGAAGTCACACAAGTACGGCAGATGGAGGGAGCGGGGACCCTGCCGACACACCTACGTAAGATATTTTTGGCAGTCTCGCTTAGCCTTTAGCCCCTTTTTGAGGAGGAAAAAATGCAGTTTAGCAAGGGGGATGTGGAGACGCAGCAGCACGGCGATTTCCTTGTGCTCTGCACCGGCCTGAGCCAGGACTACAGCGAAGGTGAGCAGAGGGGCTCGGCCGGCAGCACCACCTCCCTGTGCGCTGTTCAAACAAAGGATGCTGCACGTCAGGCCAGGCTGCCTCTCCTTGGAGGGGGAGGAGGGACCGCTGAGCAAGTAGGCCATTAACTTCCTGCCAGCCAGTCTGCAGCAGTAAGGAAATTAAAAAAAAAATCCAGCACTGTGGGGTGTGCAGGCAGCAGAGACAGCCCCTCTGATCAGCCATGTTCCAGCGGCAAGATGCCAGCGCAGGGGATGCACATGCAGCCAGAGCAGGGCTTTCCGAGCAGAGGTACATCCAACGGGGCAATTGCTTGTACGTCAGCAAGAATTCAAGCAAACCCACCGCTCCGAGGTAAAGCCTAGCCTCGGATCTCGTCTAGGTGTCCTCAAGGGAGATGAGCAGAACAACCAGGAGCCTCTTGCCCAGGATACCGCTCCTTCCCCCCACCTCCACACAGCTCCACACCCAGGCACACGCGAGCTCCTCTCTGCATTTCAAGCAGCAGCACTGCCCAGTGATGTCTCTGAAGATGCCGACTCCCCAGACCGAATATACAGCTTTGAACTCTCAGACAGTATTTTCAAGGCACAGATTTGTGCTGCACGCTGAGCCACCGCCGAGGCAAAGCGGAGCTGCCAGTCACCGGGGCTGTCTGGAAGGAGGGGACCAGAGCCCTGCTGCTGCAGGTACCGCCTCCATTTGGGACTCACAGCTAAGGGACACTGCCCCAATCCCCCCGCCTCAGCCCTGCCAGCTGCAGCACAGAGCTCTATTATCCCTTCAGCTCAACAAGTAAGAAATTAAAGCCTATATATAACACATATTTGGGAGCAGCTGGTCCCCTTGAACTCACATGCAGTCTTGCCTGCCCTTTGCAGCCTGGCTCTCCCCCACCCTTCATTTGCAGAAGCCTCAAACTTCACCTGGATATTGCCCTTCCTCCACTTCTACCTCTTTTAGTTCAAAGTGCTCATGTAAAGAGATGAGCCCAGCCTTGAATGCTGCTTCCAGTGAACAACCAGTCAACCCAGTACCCAGCTGAAGTCAAAAGAGGAACGGTGAGGAGGGTGGAGACGGTCACGTCTGCCACCAAGCAAGTTCCCAACACTGAGGAGCATGGGAGGGCAGAGGGCAGAGTTAACCAGCCACCTTCTTGAAAGGCTTCACACAGATTTATTGCTGGGGTAATGTCAGATAGGGAGGAAGCCCAGCCCTCTTCCTCCTGCTCTCTTGAAGAAAGAAACTCAGGAATTTGGCAGAAGGCCACGGCTCAAACAGAGGAGACCCTGTGCTAAGGCATGTTCAGAAAAGCAGCCTCTTCCCTGCCAGGATAAACGTTGCTTTTCCACCCCCTTCTCGGGGGATAGAAGATGTTGCCCCTCAACTCCAACATCAGCAAAAGCTGTTTGGAAAGGGTGGGCTCCTTCTGGGCTGCCCTTGTGCCAGACACGCTCACCTTGCCTGGACGTTTCTTCCTCCCCAGGATACTCCGGGGGCACCACACGCTCCAGCTACAGCAGCTGAGAAGGAACCAGACCCACGTCCTCTGGCTGGAGCTTCCCTTCACCCCACGTCTGGGCATTGCAATTGCAACCGTCCAGCCACCACCCCAGCAAACAAGGGGCTGGCAGCTGCCAGAGGCAAAGCCTCATGTGCCAGCAGCTTTCAGCTGCTCTCACTTCCCTTCGCTTTAAGGCATGGCCAGGCAAGGTAGGAAGAACAAAGCATTTAATGCAGGTTTCTGCGCACAACTCTGAACATCCAGGGCTACCCTGGGGTAGAGGCGAGACAGACGGCTGCCTCTTCTTCAGGGAGGCTGTTAAAGGGTTAAGACAGCAAGCCAGCATCAAAGGGAGCTCTCAGCAGAGGGGGTTGAGAAACTGAGATGGGTCGAGGTTGCGCAGACTCCTTGGAATCTCAGGAATTTCCCATTATTATCCCACTTCCCTTCCAGCAGCCTGGAGGGAGAGAGCGCAAGAACAGGACCCCAGGCCCATCCCTACGGCCAGAGGCAGAAGCACTAGGGACGGGCATGCCCCAGCACTGCACGCCAGGCAAGGCGCTCTGCCAGAGCCGGTATCAGGGCGCCCACCATCCAGAGAAGAAAGCTTTGGTTCAAGACACTAAGAAGAGCTCAGGGGCCTCATCTCCTGCAGCTCTCTGCAGATGAAGGTCTCAAGCTCACAGATCCCAGGCTGGCTGGACCACCATCACGGTAAGTTGAGATACCTGCACAGTCCAATAACAAGCATCCCTCTAATCAACAGTTCACCCTGCCTCGGACCAGAGGTTCCTCCCTCATACTACTCCAGTAGTCCAGAAAGTTCCCAGTTTCACCTCAGAAGCTGGAGCTCTAATAGTGCTGGTGGCCCCCATACAACTAGATAACCAAGAGTTATTTGCTGCTATTCACACGATTGCCACCCTGCATTTCAGGTGAGGTCCCAAGACACAACCATTACCAGCCGAGACTTGAATGCTGCAAGTCTCATCCCACTTCAACAGAAGCCTTGACTGTGACTTGTCCAAGGTCATCATCAACACCTGGTATCAGCAATAACCAACCTACAGAAGAGCTACAGAAGTGGGAAGTTTTTGCTAATGCACCACATGGCTGATGGTCTTACCACTTCTCCTTTCTACTCGTCTTAGACATTAACAGGGTAATATCCATCTTACAAGGATGTTGTCAGGATTAACATTTTTAAATTACTCTGTGAATGGACCGTGCTATACAAGTGCTAAGTAGTATTATGTTATCTAATTTTCCTTCTAAGAACTGTTAATGTATAAGCAGCAGCTACAGAAATCTTATTGCAAAGCTGCTTTATAAACATCAAGAAACACATCAGGTACGTAGAGTTCAGTGCTTCCCTGTGGGCTGAGTAGGGACTAGAGCTCATTATGCAACAGCAGATCCCAGAAAGCTGTGCACGATTAAGGGTCCTTCTTGATAAGCAAAAAAAAAAGAGGGGGCCAGTGAACACCCACCACTCAGAAGCAGCTTGAAAGGTCCAGGAAAGCAAATTGAGGTGTGGTACAGGCAGCTGCTCCTGTTGTACCCTGCTCTGCCTCCATCTCCCCCACACTGCTCAGGAGAAGGATCTTGCATTCAAGCTGTATTTACCTTCAGATGCATTTACCTTCATAACATCCAGGGCAAATGCCAGTAGATTAGGGTGAATGCCCTTGGCCATGAGCCCATCAGCCCAGCAGAGCACAGGCTGCAGTGACACCCATGTCCCACGCTGTTTCACACACCCCATTTCCCCTGCACAGAAGGGCATTTCTCCTCTCCCCAGACACCTGTATTCAGTTGGGCTGGTATAAACACCTTTTTATTTTCCCTTTTTTAAGGGGAGACAGATTAAGATCAGCTCCATGTAAATGCCTGCCTGTATTTGAGTTTTATTCACCTTTTGTCTGCCCAAGCTGGAACTGGAGAGCAGCCATCAGCTGGCATTTAAGCCTGGAAAACACTGTTTTAATTACCAGCATTAATTGGCCTGTGTGACCCCTTCAGCCACGGCTTGACACGCGCTCCCAGAAAATGCTGTGGGGAAAGACAGTTTCTGCAGAGGTCAGGCTTCCCCACAACTCTCATTTCATGGTGTGAGGACCGGTGCTTAAGAGGGAGCAGGGTCCAGCAAACCCTACAGCATCTCCCAGGCCCAACGCTTTCTCAATGGCAACAAGAGCAGGTAGCAGAGACTTACGCGTTGCAATATGGCTTCTTTTCGTAGCCCTTGTAGTTTTTCATGTTTAGGGTCATCTTGCAGGTCTCGCAGTGGAAACATGCTTTGTGCCAGAACTGGAAACAGAGACAAGAGAATCATTAACACAAGTGACTTGCAAAACAGGGCCACTTCCCACTAGAATTGCACAACTCAAACTCAGCAGCTCCTCCAGCCTAGAGATGTCAGTGATAACACCCACGACCCCTGCAAAACCTAGAGGACAGACAATATTCTTACTAGTTTAGGACACAAGTAAATCCCCCCTTGACCCTCCCAATGCACCTTATCTCAAGAGAGCAGCAACATTTGCTACTTGCAAATGTTATAGTAGCCTCTTGCTTCCTTATCTCCAGACCAGGAATTCATTTGGCTTGGCCAAATACAGGATAGGAGAAGCCTCCTACTACGAAAGAGGCACAACAAGCCCCTGTGAGCAGGGAGACTGTCAGCAGAGTTAACAGCTGTGGTTTGCAGGCTTCAAAGTTGCTGCTTTAGGTTTTTTTGCTGATGTTAGCCAAGAGATAGCCAGAAGAGCAGGTCAGGTGAGGCTGCACACAGACAACAAGCCAAGGAAAAGAAGACAGAAGAAAAGGTTCTCGTGAGAAGCAGACAGTCCAATACAGACAGCTCAAAGGTCCTCACCACCCTTCTGCCTGCAATTTACGTGCCTAATCCCCAGCCTCACAAACTCTACGGCCCCAGAGGATGCAGGATCACCCCAAGCCCCCCTCAGCCCCCCTCTCCCCACGGTGGGGCTGTCAAGAGCTATGACTGCTCTTGCCGGTGCTGCATCCTAACACAGGGCAGGGCTGGGGACAGCAACAAGGAAGAGGAGCTGCTAGCCTGACATTTTGGCGAAGGCAGTTTTTGCATCCTCTCCCCAACAGCTCTTGCACCAGTAGCCTCAGGCTGACCTCACACCCCACCTGAGGTCTGCCACCTGAACGCAGCTGTACAGCAGCACAGCTCTCCTTTCAACCAGCGAGGCACACTCAGAGCCAGGGCTAAAGACATATTCCCTGAAATTCAGATCATGACCCTACGTTATGGGTTTCAACACCTAATGAACCCTGAAGAAGTGTTTTAAGCTTTTAGGGCTACTCTTGAAGGAATTATTTCCACTTGGCATTTAACTGGCCCGAGTGGCTTTCTAGGCTGGAAGGAGCCCGAGGAGAACAGCTCAGAGCTGCTACCAAGCAATTCTGCAATTCCACCCCATGACGCCCTGCCAGTCACCAAGTGACCAGACTTTGTGCTTCCTCTGACAGCCATCGGGACTTGAGGGGTCTGGTGTGACTTCCCAGGGAAGAAAGGAAAGCGCACAGGCAGGAGCCGAGCCGGAGCAGCGCAACAAGGAAAGCACAGCCCGAAGCAATGTCTTTACTCACTGGAGGTAAGGCAGTCCTGCCCTAGGGTTGCCCTCCCTCCTCGGCTAACCCCCCTCCTTCAGCAAGGCCCCCCTGCACAGCACACAAACCGCCCAGCATCACCCTGCAAAATCCGGGAAAGAACAAGCGGAAAGCCACATTAGCAGCTCATCCTACCAAGCAGATTACAGTCAACAAGCCTGCAGTGTGACACCCAGGCCTTGGAGCCAGGCACACATTTACTATGCAGTGAGCAAACCCAGGGAGAACAGCTGGCGGTTGTTGCTATGATTTCCACCCTTAAGCTTTTAAAAAGTCATTTCCACCACTGCAACTGCTGGCTCGGTCTGTGTTCTTCCAAGGAGACGGCAAGAGCCAAGCCTAAGCCCTTGTGCCACCTACCCGCAGGTGCCACACCCCAGCGCGCAAACACCTCCGCGGCTCTACGAGCCTGTGACTCATCCCAGAAGGACAATTTGCCTCCTTTCAGTTGCTCACAGCAACATATTTGTTCTTTTCCTCTAGTTACACGAGTTCCTCCAGAGCTTGCCGCTAACAGTGAGAGGGGGCTTCTTGCTGCACCACGCGCTGCTCTGTACCAACACCCTCATTCACATCCAGCCTGCACAGGATTATTTTCCCTCCCTCCCAGCTCTCGGGCTCTTTAAGGACAGACAGATCAACAGCCGAGTCCTGAGTTCTTCAGGCATCTTGAAAGTTACACAGCCTTTTGGTTGAGCTACTGCCACATTAGAGGTAATTAACAGACCTCTCCAAGCTTGTCAGCCATTCATAGTGCTGTAATAGCTGTGCATAAATACCAGAGATGCCACTATAAATATGCAGAAATGAACTGACAGCCAACATGACTTCAGAGCCTCTTCCTCCGAGGAATACCCAGGCTCCCAAGAGCCAAGGAGTATCTGGCAAGGCCAGCTGTCCCCCCGCCCGCGGCAGCCTCCACAATAAGCACAGCAGAAGCAATGCACTCAGGCGGCCTTTACCCCCAGCCAGAGAGCAATTAATGCATATTCTTGCCTCAGTTTGCATTAGGCATTGTTCAGCAGAGGTGTTTCTGTCCTGTGGCTCTTACAAAGGAGACTCTGCAGCCTGAGCAGGCAGCCGAGCCACCCAGAGAGCGCTACCCCTATCTCTAAGTCTTGCTGCCCCCAAACTTTGTCTTACCACTGACAGTATTAATGCCGGATCCACAAATCTAAACCAGCACTAAAAGGAGGGCTGCAACGCAGAACTGACACAGGGGAACAGCAATTATGTAGGCTTCCAGTAACGCTACCGCTCACCCTCCAGCACGGCTGCAGAGAAAGAGGACAAGTTTCAAATAGGTTTTTAGAGAAGCATTAACGCCTGTGCTTTCCAATTCCAAGTTTGAAGTGCTCCGAACATCTGGAGGCGATCCCAGGTACAACTGCCCGGCGCAGCTCGCCCCACGTCCCAGCAGGCCGTGCTCTACGAGAAGCACGCTGGCTGCGGTCCAGGCAGGCTGCTCTTGGAGAGACGGAGCCCTTCCCCACTCCAGATATCGGGGGACAGAGCCCCCAGCCACAGTACGTGTTGGTTGTTGGTGTCATTTATAGCTCATGCTGCAGCCGCACAACAACCCTCCACCAAGCAAAGCCATTGCTCCACACCTGGGAACAAGCATCACTTGAGACTCAAGGGTTAGAGGACAACATATAAAGAGAGACTCCTCGGGCCGAAGGCAAACCCTTGATCTGGTTTAGTGCACTGTAACAGCTAACTCTAACTTCTACTCATTTTAGAAAAAGTCATCCGACATCAGCTTTACACGAGTTCAGCAGTTGCAGCTGCAACCACCAAACCCTGCAACACCCGCTCCAGCGATGGGCGGCACAGGAGATGTCACTTCCACAGCGGAAGCCAGCCACATCACCCAGCACCTTATCCGGACAGC